ATCCTAACACAATTCTCCAACCAATTTTATTCCACTACCTCAATAATTTACACCTAGCAAAATGAATTATACAAGAAACAGAAACAATTACAGAGCCAGACAGATTAAGAATAGAAAAGTGGGGGCCATAAAGACCAAACATACAGAAATGAGGGTTTCACAACCACAACCATTGATCAGTGATCTCTTGCCAGACAGGATGTTATGAAACTAAGTTTTCTTTAACCATCTTAAGATGTGTTTCTTTATCTGGTGGTGATGGGCACTATCAGGACAGGATCATCTTCCTAACAGCCCAATAGCCCCTTATGTCAGTGTGGCTGGTTTGGGATGTGACCGTTCACTTCCCAACTTAGGGCTGCCCCTGCTGCTTAGCCTAAGAACCAGGCTCAGACTCTCCTGGTGAGAGAAGGCCCAGACACAGGCAGACTGGGATTTTCATTCTTTGTTTTTATACCCCTATAACTAGCTAGGTGATAAAAAGACACCTAAGTTCTTAAAGTATAGGCCTTTACAGGCAGGCTTGAATATCTATATTCTAACAGGAGCTTGTGGTTCGTATAACATCTGCATGTAGCTGTGGGTGCCGGAGGCCTTCCAGGCTTTGCAGAAGTATTCGGACCCAGCCACATCCTGTGATCTCCACTCATTGTTCTCCCCGCCCCAGATATACCCCCACTTGAACAGCTTCCTCCTCCGGGCTGAACCAGTCTGTGTGAGCTGCAGGCATTGCGTTGGGGACCTTGGACAGGGGTTCAGTCTGAGACACTGCATCCTCTGAAGACACAGGTAAGGAAATGAGATAACCCCCCCCCATCTGTCCCCACTGGATCTCATTCTGTCTCACCGCCCACACCAATGCCCCCATGATCTCCCCCCATCCTCTCCCCTCATCTTGAAATTGTTGGTGTGTCCTGTTGTCAGAGTTCAGGGGCTCCCATTGAGTTTCATTGTGTACAGACACTGACCGAGCTCGGGGGGCCCATTGTGCCAGGCGCTACACAGACCCAGAAGGAGAAAGAGTCCTGCTCCCAGTGAGCTCACAGTCTAAACAGACAAGTGTTTGGTGAGGAAACTGAGGCACAGGGCCATGATGTGACTTGTCCAGGCTCCCCGAGCAGTTCAGTGAGAAAGTCTGGGATGGAAGTCCCTGTCTAACCACTACAATAGACTCTTGCAATATTCTTCCTTTTTAAAAAAAAGTTTTTTAGCTGATTACCGTTCTCTTCTTCTTCTGGTGTTTGGCCAGCTTTTTTGTTGTTGTCCTTGTTTCAATCTTACTTTTCTCCTCCTGGAGAGTTTCTCTCCATCACTGGAGGATTTCACAGGAGGGATCTTTGTGTGGGGATTTTGCCTGCTCCAATTACTCACCTCCCAAAATGGCCCAAACCAGACAAAAACTCCACTTCAAAATGAAGGCAGGCAGGAGAAGAATCACTTTCAAAAATTCCACTATTTAAAAAAAGGGGAGGGACATTTTTTTAACAAAGACGGGAATAGCCAGCTCCTTTTGGGAAACTAAAAGCAAGAAGATTATTTGGGAATTTTAGTTAGATTGCAGGGTGTCTCCCACTCTGTCTCTGCATCCAGGACACCCCACTACCCACTGTCCATCCCCCCTTGCCTAAAATCTAACCTTTCAGCAAGAAGCAATGTGGTTTTTTAAAATATTTGATTTAGTAAAAACAACAGATATTATGTAAAAACAAAAAAATGTTCGGGCAGAGAATAAACACAACAAATCCTGCATCATAAACATCAGAACATAAGAACAGCCGTACTGGGTCAGATCAAGTGTCAGTCCAGCCCAGTATCCTGTCTGCCGACAGTGGCCAATGCAGGTGCCCCAGAGGGAGTGAACCTAACAGGTAATGATCAAGTGATCTCTCTCCTGCCATCCATCTCCACCCTCTGACAGACAGAGGCTAGGGACACCATTCCTTACCCAGCCTGGCTAATAGCCATTAATGGACTTAACCTCCATGAATTTATCCAGTTCTCTTTTAAACCCTGTTATAGGCCTACACTTCACAACCTGCCCAGGCAAGGAGTTCCACAGTTTGACTGTGCACTGTATGAAGAAGAACTTCCTTGTATTTGTTTTAAACTTGCTGCCCATTAATTTCATTTGGTGACCCCTAGTTCTTGTATTATGGGAGCAAGTAAATAACTTTTCCTTATTCACTTTCTCCACATCACTCATGATTTTATATACCTGTATCATATCCCTCCCTTAGTCTCCTCTTTTCCAAACTGAAAAGTCCTAGCCTTTTTAATCTCTCCTCATATGGGACCCGATCCAAACCCCTAATCATTTCAGTTGCCCTTTTCTGAACCTTTTCTAATGCCAGTATATCTTTTTTGAGATGAGGAGACCATATCTGTACGCAGTATTCAAGATGTGGGCATACCATGGATTTATATAAAGGCAATAAGATATTCTCCATCTTATTCTCTATCTCTTTTTTAATGATTCCTAACATCCTGTTTGCTTTTTTGACTGCCGCTGCACACTGCGTGGACGTCTTCAGAGAACTATGCATGATGACTCCAAGATCTCTTTCCTGATTCGTTGTAGCTAAATTAGCCCCCATCATATTGTATGTATAGTTGGGGTTATTTTTTCTAATGTGCATTACTTTACATTTATCCACATTAAATTTCATTTGTCATTTTGTTGCCCAATATCTCAGTTTTGTGAGATCTTTTAAAGTTCTTCACAGTGAGCTTTGATCTTAACTATCTTGAGCAGTTTCATATCATCTGCAAATTTTGCCACCTCACTGTTCACCCCTTTCTCCAGATCATTTATGAATAAGGTTAATAGGATTGGTCCTATGACTGACCCTTTGGGAACAGCACTAGTTACCCCTCTCCTTTCTGAAAATTTACCATTTATTCCTACCCTTTGTTCCCTGTCTTTTAACCAGTTCTCAATCCATGAAAGGACTTTTGTTGAGGGACCTTGTCAAAGGCTTTCTGGAAATGTAAATACGCTATGTCCACTGGATTCCCCTTGTCCACATGTTTGTTGACCCCTTCAAAGACCTCTAATAGATTAGTAAGACATGATTTCCATTTACAGAAACCATGTTGACTTTTGCCCAACAATTTACGTTCTTCTAGGTGTCTAACAATTTTATTCTTTACTATTGTTTCAACTAATTTGCCCGGTACTGACGTTAGACTTACTGGTCTGTAATTGCCAACATCACCTATAGAGCCTTTTTTAAATATTGGCATTACACTAGCTATCTTCCAGTCATTGCATATAAAAGCCGATTTAAAGGACAGGTTACAAACCATAGTCAATAGTTTCGCAATTTCACCTTTGAGTTCTTTCAGAACTCTTGGGTGAATGCCATCTGGTCCCGGTGACTTGTTACTGCTAAGTTTATCAATGAATTCCAAAACCTCCTCTAGTGACACTTCAATCTGTGACAGTTCCTCAGATTTGTCACCTACAAAGGACGACAGGTTTGGGAATCTCCCTAACATCCTCAGCCGTGAAGACTGAAGCAAATAATTCATTTAGTTTCTCCACAATGACTTTATTATCGTTAAGCGCTCCTTTTGTATCTCGATCATCCAGAGGCCCCACTGGTTGTTTAGCAGGCTTCCTGCTTCTGATGTACTTAAAAAACATTTTGTTATTACCTTTGGAGTTTTTGGCTAGCCGTTCTTCAAACTCCTTTTTGGCTTTTCTTATTACATTTTTACACTTCATTTGGCAGTGTTTATGCTCCTTTCTATTTACCTCACTAGGATTTGACTTCCACTTTTTAAAAGATGCCTTTTTATCTCTCACTGCTTCTTTTACATGGTTGTTAAGCCACGGTGACTCTTTTTTAGTTCTTTTACTGTGTTTTTTAATTTGGGGTATACATTGAAGTTGGGCCTCTCTTATGATGTCTTTGAAAAGTGTCCATGCAGCTTGCAGGGATTTCACTTTAGTCACTGTATCTTTTAATTTCTGTTTAACTAACCTCCTAATTTTTGCATAGTTCCCCTTTCTGAAATTAAATGCCACAGTGATGGGCTGTTGAGATGTTTTTCCCACCACAGGAATGTTAAATGTCATCATATTACGGTCACTATTTCCAAGCGATCCTGTTATAGTTACCTCTTGGACCAGCTCCTGCGCTCCACTCAGGACTAAATCAAGAACTGCCTCTCCCCTTGTGGGTTCCCATACCAGCTGCTCCAAGAAGCAGTCATTTAAAGTATCAAGAAATTTTGTCTCTGCATTTCATCCTGAGGTGACATGTACCCAGTCAATATGGGGATAATTGAAACCCTCCACTATCACTGAGCTCATTATTTTGATAGGATCTCTAATTTCCCTTAGCATTTCATCATCACTATCACTGTCCTGGTCAGCTGGTCGATAATAGATCCCTACTGGTATATTCTTATTAGAGCATGGAATTACTATCCATAGAGATTCTATGGACCATGTGGATTCATTTAAGATTTTTACTTCATTTGATTCTACATTTTCTTTCACATATAGTGCCACTCCGCCCACCCCGCATGACTTGTTCTATCCCTCTGATATATTTTGTACCCCGGAATGATTGTGTCCCATTGATTGTCCTCACTTCACCAGGTTTCTGTGATGCCTATTATATCAATATCCTCCTTTATCAGAAGGCACTCGAGTTCACCCATCTTATTATTTAGACTTCTAGCATTTGACAGGGGGTTAGATGAGATGACCCTTGTGGTCCCCTCCTTACCCTCTGGCTCTATGCTTCTAAGGTCTTTCACCATTGGTGACATTGGACTTCAATTATTTGATCCTATTTGAACTCAGCTTAGGATCTGGGGAGTTTGTAAACTTTAAGGAGATTATAAACTCTGTGGCTGTCTCATTCTGTCCATGTCCTCTCCTGGAGCCCTTTTCATTGCTCTTCCTTCCTTTGCTCAGTAGAACGTCTGCGCTGCCCCCACCGAGACCTGAAGAAGGAGGGGATATTGTGACTGCAACTCTTCCAAGAATGGTGTATGCAATCATCTTCGTGGTGCTGTGTGGCCTGACCTTCCTCACCGGGGTGCCATTGAATGGCTATGTCCTCTTCGTTGCTGGCTGCCGTGTGGAGAGGACGGTCAGTGCCGTGTGGTTCTGGAACCGGGCCCTGGCCGATTTCATCTTCATCATCTTCCTGCCAATCAGATTCATCTTCATCTCCATACCGAACTTTGTCTTGGTCAAGAGGATGATCAGCACCGTCACCTCCCTCCACATGTTCTCTAGTGCCTTCCTCCTCACGGCCTTCAGTGTTGATCGCTGCATCCTTGTGGCACGCCCTGAGTGGGCCTGGAATTGCCGCATGCTCCCCCTGGCTTTCAGGGTGGTTATAGGCTTGTGGGCCCTGTCTCTTGGGTTCAGCTTGAGGTACGGTGATGTCTCGGACTACCTGCTCTCACCTCCCAGCATCAGCACGTATTCCAACCTGGATGAAGGGAGGGTGAAGGCCACCATTGCAATGCAGTTCCTGGTCGGGTTTCTGATCCCATTCGCCTTGATCTTGATCCCAACATTCTACATCGTTCTAGCTGGCAAACTGAGAAGGAACAGGCCGATCCAGTCCACCAAGCCACTCAAGATCCTTCTTGGCTTGATCCCAACCTTTTTCCTCTGCTGGCTGCTGTATCACGTCTTCTCATTCCTGCCAATCTCAAATATGGATCCTCGGTCTCATCTGCATCTCGGAAGAGCTTTTGCTTGTGTCCTGACATATTTCAGCAGCTGCCTCAACCCCATCTTCTACCTCACCATGGATAAAGAGTTTCTGAAGTACCAGCAACGTGCACGCAACCCCCAAACCACCGACAACTTGGTGCCGGAGCTGGATGAATAGGGGAACAGATGGAATTGTCGATATTTACATGGAGAAATAATTCTGTTCACTGGACCCATTACTTCCTCTTAATCCCAAAATTGTTTTTTAGCAAGCCACGAGAATGATTATAGGTTAGAAAACCTGCCTTGGAGTGCAAGACACAAGGATCTCAATCTATTTAGCTTATCAAAGAGAAGGTGAAGAGGTGACTTAATGACAATCTGTAAGTACCTATGTGGGGAACAAGTATTTAATAATGGGCTCTTCAATCCAACAGAGGAAGGTCTAACATGATCCAGTGAACACTAGTTGAATCTAGTTCAGACTGGAAATGAGGTGTAAATTTTTAACGATCAGAGTAACTGACCATTGGAGCAATTTCCCAAGAGTCATCGTGAATCTTCTATCACCGGCAATTTTAAATTAATTGGGGATGTTTTTCTAAAATCTCTGCTCTAGGAATTGTTTAGGGGTAGTTCTCTGGCCTGTGTGATCTGGGAGGTCAGACGAGATGATCACAATGGTCCCTTCCAGACCTGGAATCTATGAATCTGTCATTTTAATGAAATGTATTAGAGTTTTGCTTTTGTTAATTTTTAGAACATTTTAGGCCATTTGGTTCTTTGTGGTCTGATCTTTCCTACGTCTTCATGTCCTTATTTTTCTCATCATTTCATCTTTGCTCCCATTGGGGCTCCAGCTCTTCTTCTTCCCTGTGTTTGTTGAAGATCAGCGGGTATATGAAAAATGGGTAAGATTTTCAAAAGGGTCTAAGTACTATTTTTAAAAGTGTTTAGGCCCATAGGAACCTTGCTGAAAGTCAATGAGACATAACATAAGAACATAAGAATGGCCATACTGAGTCAGAACAAAGGTCCATCTAGCCCAGTACCCTGTCTTCCGACAGTGGCCAGTGCCAGGTGCCCCAGAGGGAATGAACAGAACAGGGAATCATCAAGTGATCCAGCCCCTGTCGCCCATCCCAGACTCTGGCAAACAGAGGCTAGGGACACCATCCTTGCCCATCCTGGCTAATAGCCGTTGATGGACCTATCCTCCATGAAATTATTTAGTTCTTTTTTAAAACCTGTTATAGTCTTGGCCTTCACAACATCCTCTGGGAAAAAGTTCCACAGATTGACTGTGCGTTGTGTGAAGAAATACTTCCTCTTGTTTGTTTTAAACCTAGTGACTGTTAATTTGATTTGGTGACCTCTAGTTCTTGCGTTATGGGAAGGAGTAAATAACACTTTCTTATTTACTTTCTCCACACCAGTCAAGATTTTATAGAGCTGTATCATATACCCCCCGTAGTCATATCTTTTCCAATTTGAAAAGTCCCAATCGTATTAATCTCTCCTCATATGGAATCCGTTCCACACCTCTAATAATTTTTGAGTGGTAACAACTCATTTAGACCCCATCATTTTATATGTATAGTTGGGATTATGCTTTCCAATGTGCATTACTTTGCATTTATTAACATTGAATTTCATCTGCCATTTTGTTGCCCAGTCACCCATATTTGTTAGGTCCCTTTGTAACTCTTTGCAGTCAGCTTTGGACTTAACTATCTTGTGTAGTTTTGTATAATCTGCAAATTTTGCCCCTATCCACTGTTTGCCCCCTTTTCCAGATTGTTTATGAATACGTTGAACAGCTCTGGTCCAGTACAGATCCCTGGGGGACACTGCTATTTACCTGTCTACATTCTGTAAACTGACCATTTATTCCTACCCTTTTTTTTCTATCTTTTAACTAGTTTCTGATCCCTGGGAGGACCTCCCCTCTTATCTCAGGACAGTTTGCTTTGCTTACGAGCCTTTGGCGAGGTACCTTGTCAAAGACTTGCTGAAAATCTAAGTACACCCTTGTCCACGTGCTTGTTGACCCCCTTAAAGAATACTAATAGCTTAATGAGGCATGATTTCCCTCTACAAAAAACATATTGACTCTTCCCGAACCAATCACTTTCATCTATGAGTCTGACAGTTTTGTTTTTTACTATAGTTTCAACCAGTTTGCCCAGTACTGAAATCAGGGTTACCACCCTGTAACTCCCAGGACCCCCTGTGGAGACTTTTTTAAAAAATGATGTCACAATAGCTATCCTCCAGTCATTTGGTACAGAAGCTGATTGAAATGATAGGTTATATATCACAGTTAGTAGTTCTATAATTTCACATTTGAGTTCCTTCAGAATTTTTGGATGAATCCCATCTGGTCCTGCTCACTTATTACTGTTTAGTTTATCAATTTGTCCCAAAACCTCTAATGACACCCCAATCTGGGACAGTTCCTCAGACAGTTCCTTTCACCTAAAAAGATTGTCTCAGCTCTGGGAAGCTCCCTCACATACTCAGCCATGAAGACTGATGCAAAGAATTCATTTGGTTTCTCTGCAATGGCCATATAGTCCTTGAATGCTCCTTTAACATTTTGAACGTCCAGTGGCCCCTCTGTCTTTTTAGCAGGCTTCCTGCTTCTGATGTACTTAAATAATTGTTTGCTATTACTTTTTCAGTCTTTGGCTAGCTGTTCTTCAAATTCTTTTTTGGCCTTCCTAATTATATTTTCACTTGAGAGTGTTTATGCTCTTTACTATTTTCCTCAATAATATTTAACTTACAGTTTTTAAAAGATGCCTTTTTGCCTCTCAAAGCTTCTTTTACTTTGTTGTTTAGTCACAGTGGTGCTTGTTTGGTTTTCTTACTGTTTTTTTTTTAATTTGGGGTATACATTTGAGCTTCCATTGTGGTGTCCTTAAAAAGTTTCAGTGCAGCTTGCAGGGAATTCACATATAGCACTGTAGCTTTTAACTGCTGTTTATCTAAGTCCTCATTTTTTGTGTTGTTCCCCTTTCTGAAATTAAATGCTACTGCAGTGTTTTCCCTGCCACAGGGATGTTAAATCTATTTATATTATGGTCACTATTACCAAGTGGTTCAATTATATTCCCCTCTTAGACCAGATCCTTAGCTGCCTAGTAAAACATCATGAGATTATTTTGAACAGAAAAACATTTGGATTCATCTTTTTTGCCTCCTGATTTTTTGGGGGCAATTTCAAGCTTTTGTCTGCAACAAAGAGGGCCAAAAACCTGCTTAAAAAAAAACAGAAATGAAAACTGAAATTGCCAACTAATCATATGATTCCAGGATCTGGGGCTTGGAGGAAAATGAGAAGTATGGCGAATGCTGCAAACAAATTGTAAAGGTCGGTGACGGTACAAAACTCTGCCAAAAGTTTCAGAAAACCAGAACTATCCAGCTCTGTTTTGGAAGCCACTGGAGTGAGGAGCTGTTTAAAATGTTGGGGACTTTAAAATAAAGTGTGTGTCTGTGTCACTGTGTACCTCAAAACAGCACCCTGGAACCACCATATTCATGACTGTGCTATAAATATGAACTAAGTCTGCCTTGTGAGATATCCTTAACAAAGTCTTGATCAGTTGATTATTAATATCCTGTTAAATTGTATGTCCTGTCATTGTATGGGGAGTTAGGAAATGTTGCTATGTGTGTGTTACTGAAATAAATTGTGATTTTGGGAACACCCACAACCAGCTTTTCAGGTACAACAATGGAGGACCCAGATTGCATTAAAGGCTCATCAACACCCATGGAAGAATCCACTATCTCAGGAACTGTATAAAATGGAGATTTCTCAGAGAGAACATGTAGACAATGGAGACTGTTTGACCCAAGTCATAGCAAAATATATTCTCAGGAAGTTGAAGAAACTACAAAAGAGGGGAAGTGACATCACCACTTCGCCTCACTCCCCTCACAATTCACTGCCTGGAAACATGTCTGGAGGACAAAGACTTTGAACTGTGGAAGTTTGGTATCGGGCTGGAAGACAAGCCCAGCCTGTGTATTGAGGATCTGTCACCTGCTTGTACCATCTGCCAGGGTGAGACACGGCTTGATTCACATCCTGTCTAGTTTACAGAACTCAGACTGTGAATTTACTTTTATTCATAGGTAACCAACTTTGATCTCTATGCTCACTGCTTATAATCACTTAAAATCCATCTGTCTGTAGTTAATAAACCTGTTTTATATTCTACCTAAAACTGTGTGTTTGGTTGAAATGCTTGAGAAATCTCAGCTCAGTTTACAAAAGCTGGTGTGTGCACTCAACATTGAGAGAGCTGTGGACTGGGTAATGAACTTACACTGGCCGGGCTTGTGACCAATGCAGGACAGTACATTTCTGGGCTGGAAGGCCTGGGAGCCGGGGGGAATTCACTGGAGTCTCCCTATTGTTGGTTCCTGAGGGTCTAGGAGACCATTCATGGAACTCAGCTGGGTGTGTCCCTACCTGGGGATGGCTGTGTAAGTGCAGGACCTGCCAGAGGTTTGTATCTTGACACAGTATCACGGTGTGAGAGGAACATCCCAGGTTGGTGGGACAGAGGGCTCAGTGGTCCCACAGCCCAGCTTGCATTATGGGAATCCCATCACAGTGGCTTTCAAAACCAATGTTTCAATGAATCCTGATATTCCTGGCCAAAGTTCATGCAGCTTTCACCCTTTGCTATGTTGGTGGCCGTTCTTCATCATCCAATCAACCCTGTAGCCAGTCGTAGAGCAGACACTATGTCGTGTGGCATACAGCCAATGAAGTGAGAGATTCATGATGCACTCACCACCTGGCAAGGTCTCTCCAGGACTTTTGAGGGTTGACCAGGGGTGAAGGGTGGCAGGACCCACCCACAAATCACTCCTGATGGGAAGATCTCCCATCTGAACCAGACACAGGATCCCAGTGGCGGTCACACCAAGGCCAGATCCAGAGGGAAAATCACCTCCCTGCTCCTAATCGAGATTCCCCTGTTGATGGATCCCTGTTGATGGCTGGAGCCCTGCTTATTGTGGAAGCTCACATTGAGCTAAAAAGTACCCCCACACCTGAGGCCTCAAGACAAATGATGAAAGACTAAGGCAGGTTTCAGGTAGGACTGTGGTTTGTGTGGTCTCCAGCACAGAGCGAGGGTTTCCTTAGCGTTGCCT